TTGAAATCGATTTGGTTTTATTGTTTGTGAACACGAATATATGAATATCTGGCCCCGCAATTATCGATATTCCGGCGCCTCTGCATTCAGAAACGATTTCTCCGGAAATGTGCAAGCTTTCGAGGTGTCCCCGCACATTATCATTGCATGAAGAAAGCCGAAACATCTCACTCAGTTCTCGACAGTCTCTACATTGTTTTGGATCCTTCTTACTTAAAAAGAAACATTTGCCAGACATGGTTAAAGAGAATAAAGAAAAATCATGCCGGAAAACGAAAGCTATTTATTTAAATTATTGTTATTTAAATTGATCAATTATAGAAACCGCATATTAAAAGAAACATTGATATCGACAACTTTTAATTATCAGCGAAATGCATATTATAAACTAAAGCCAAAACTACAAATATATTTCAAATACAAACTATTTTGCAATAATGGTGACGGAATTGGCATGGTCTAAGATACTTTTTATTTAATAAATAACAGAAGGAAAAGTTATAAAACGCCTTCTTTAAACAAAAACTGTGAAACATTATTGATTTGTTGCGTGTATTTATTTATTTATTTTAGAGCTGTTAGGCGGAGGTGTATTGTCGCCTAATCGCGTTTGTATGGAAAAACATCCATCTCCAGTTTACAAAATTCTGGCATACAAAGTGAAATTTTAACTAAATGGACTAGCATTGTTCTCCAATAAACCTAAGACGAGCATCAACAAGAAATAGTGGGTAGGACACTATCTCATAAATGTTAGCCCGCCTATGCATAGGGGAGGATTCGCTTCATAAAGACTCCTTCCATTGTCGCTGGAAAAGAGTTTGACCAAAACTTTTCTCATTTGATATGAATACATATTTTAATACAATGATACATATTTTAATGCAATAACAGACGTTTCAATGGCCTCACTAAGACGAAAATTGACGAGTTGAGCTTATTTTAAATAATTTAACATTCAATTTTAATTGTCTATGTTTCGTTTTCCTTGCACTGATTCCCAACGGTGGAAGAATGTGATTTCGGCGGGCAATTTTTATTTCTAGAGTATGTGGCCATTTCTCGTCGTTACGAATTAAAAAGAGTATCATTGCAAAGCAAATTAACTGTTCTTTCGTCCAATGTAAAAATTGAATTGTTTAGTCACGTTTATGATGCACGACAGCCGGTTGAATTTCCATAGCGTTTTTTAAGACACCCTGTATATTAGTACGAATACAATTAAATCCATACATTTGCAGAAGTTATAACTCCATGCATTCTCCACGTTAGGTTTTGGCCGACTCTCCAATTCATTTGCGTATTATATCAAGCTACTATGGGTAATTTGCAGCTATGACAGGTTATGTGAACCATGGCTCTGATACCGCGTCTGTTTGGACCACGGTTAATAGAAGGAGACTGGTTTGGCTAGCCAGCGAACATCAAAGTAAGGCGGCAAATATGTTAAGGATCAAAGAAAAAATATCATGTGACCAGATGGTGCATGAGCTTTGTGTTGGCTTTATAATTTAATATACTTCAATTTGAAATTTGACATACTTCAGTAGTGATAGACCCCCTATGGAGTTCAAAGGAATGCCGCCAATGCCGCTAATGACGTCACTTTGTTCAGCTTACTGATATACTAAGATATTGATATCCTAAGATATTGTATAATAAGCTTCCAAAATCTATGACGTCACTAATTTGTACAGCAAACAATCTCGCGGAATTTATAACGAGCTTGCAAAATCTATAACGCCAGGTAGCGCGACCAATTAACGCGGGCTAGCCTGGGCCAAATGCGACAGGTAACGCAACTAAAGCTCCGAAACAGTCATTAAGCAGAGCTCGGAATTTTCAGTACAAAAGACAACGCTTGCCATAGCTATATTGCCATTTCGCTGTAAAGGCATACGATGGAGTGTGTGCATGGAAAAGCCACAGCTTACAATTTATTGGAAGGAATATATGCGAATGCAGTCGCACAAGAAGTTGAAAGATTTGTGTGGAATCCTGTAATGGTTGTCAATTCGATCATCCTAGTCAAAGGCAACATGACTGCCAAATGATGAACGAAAACGAACGAAGGCAAATGTATGGTTTACAAGCGATCGAACGAGTGAATGGTAAGCGCATGGTTTGGAATAAATTCGCTGAGGCAATGAGGGTACTAAACTGGCGGTTTACAGAGATGTACTCGAACATTTACAGCAACTGAAAAAAAGATCCAGATTCTACGTTTGACGATTCATTGATGGAACTACATCAGAACACTGAGAACCACGAACTACAATGTATACTGAACTATTTGTATCATTAGAGATTAGAAGATCCGCCCGAGTCCGTCGCTGAAGCGTTTTTCTCTTGCCCACCGAGTTACGTGCGTTCTGTGAAGGCGACGGATGAACGATTTAGAAGTTTTGAGGCCGATCATAAAATTGCTTATCAAGGATTCTTGGAGAAAAAACTTGTAGAAGAGTTTAACAAACAGTTCTAGTTGTACTATTTCTGACACTATAGTCTGTTATTTGTATCAATAAACATGTTTTAAACTTGGCAAATGTTGCGTTGTTATGCGTTGCTAAGTCATTAGGAGGCGTGTAGGTAATTAAGGGATTTAGGCGAACAAAAATCTGCATAACTAAGTGTATCCCAACGGATAGATAGGGATATAATTACGTGTATTATATTTTATAATTATATTTTATTTGATTTTTATGTCAAGGAAACTGTAATGCCTTGGTGGCCGAATGGTATGGCATTGGGGTTTGTCCCAAAAATAAGGGGGTTCGAGTCCCTCACATGGCGAAATTTTTATCGAAATGTACAGCAGAGTTATACCTATCTCGAAAGAGATAAGTCGCGTATACTGAGGCAGATAAATTTATAACGCAGGTGTATGCCTTAAAATCGGGCGCGACGCTTTGTGGGCAAAAGTTTGCACAAAATTTCAGTTTTAAAATACATTTATTTCTTTAAGTACTACAAAGTCAATAATTCACGTTCTCTGCAGATTTTCTATTTGATTTTGTTTTCCTGCTGGAGGATTTTGGTTGACGGATGGGTATATTCTTTATCCCGCTTTTATTCCAGTTTGACTGCTTTTTACTGTTCCCAATTAATCTGAACAACTCTAATAAAACATTTTTTAAGTCTAAGGCTGTTGGCTTAGCACGAATAAGATAAGGTTATTTTTATTGGGACGAAAGTTCATGGACGTCTGCCAAATGGTTTGTCAGTCTTCTTAAAGCTCGCTTCCCACAGATGCATGGACAATCTTTACACTTCCGAGGCATAATGTCAAATGATAAATGTCAACCGATTCCTAACATTAAATAGTTGTGGCCCCAAAGGCCTTTTTGAAGGTTTGCCGGGACTTGGGAGAGGGTTCGAGAAATGGGTCAGTGGAAAATAGCTACCACACAGGATCGTATTTTATTTTTATAAATCAAACACAAACAACCATTAAGAGTCATTGTCACTACGATACCATGTGTTTCTGAAAAGACTTTTCAAAAGAAATTTTCTCTTGTCAAAAGCGGCCTCCAAAGGCCTGATTCCACGGGCGCTTTTTCGCGGCGAAATCCGAAATATTTCGCCTGTTTCTTTTGAATTGTGAGCAATCAAGTAGAAATAATTTATTCGAGTAGTCGCAATTCAAAAGAAACAGCCGAAATAATTCGCATTTCGCCGGGAAAAAGCCCTCGTGGAATCAGGTCTTAACGCTTCCCTGTGGTCGAAATTATCATCATTGACAAAGACATCCCTGGTTTCCATAATCTTTTTGTGTATTGGATCTCTTTTTAGTTGTCTTATCCATAGTAGACGTTCCAAATAAATATTTTGCAAATCTTTTCGAAGTTTTGATAGGATAAGTAAATATGCCTTGTCTTTAGCTTCATTTTCGTCAAAACCTTCTGCAGTGAAATACTGCGTCAGTTCTTTAAATTCCGATAAACTTTGTTGGGTTGCTTCACCTTTTAAAAGAGCCCATCGATTGCTTTCGTATTCATCACCTACTTCACTACTATAGCTAGTATCATCTACATTATCAGAATCACTCTCTGACCCAGAATCAGTTTCCACTTTGTTGTCAGTGTTATACGAATTCTCAACATCACTCTCTGATGTAGCACTATCAGAGTGTGCAACCGTTCTCATTCTTTTCATACTTTACACTGAAATCTGTAGCAGGTTTCCAACAGTACTGTATTTTCTTCGTATATTGTTAGGTTGAAACAACTCCAACCACAACCAACCGGCGAATGATCAATTTTTAGAACAACATTACATTTTATGAAGTGACCTTAAGGGACTTTTCTATGGCCTTGTGTCCCAATTGATGACTGGCTGGGACACTTCCCCACCAATAGAATTCTAGAGAATCGGGCCACAAGGCCATAAAAAAGCCCCTTGGGGCCAACGTGAAAAGTGGCCCCAAGGGCCTTTTGATTGTTAGCTGAACAAAGTGACGTCATAGATTTTGGAAGCTCATTATACAATATCTTAGGATATCAATATCTTAGGATTTCAGTAAGCTGAACAAAGCGACGTCATTAGCGGCATTGGTGGCATCCCTTTGAACTCCATAGGGGGGTCTATCACACCTTACTTCCTTCTCAAAAGTCGAAAGAAAGGCCGTTTGACAAACCGAAATCAGAAATCATGGAACCCGACACTGAGGGGGAATTGTTTCAATCTCAGGCAATAAATGTTAATTTTGAAAGCGAAAAAGAAGCAGAGGAGTTGGGATTTGATAGCGTGCTTGACACAGATGAAAGTTTGCTTGTTGAGGACGTCTATAAACTTGATATTAGTGTATTTGTAGCCGAAACTTAACAGAAACACCAGAAGCGGATGATGTATTCGACGATGCGTTGTTTGAAATGGAAGGCAAGATATAATGTAATGGTAGCACCTGTTCCAAGGTTTGCAAGTCGAATGGAGGGCTAACAAGACACCAGAATTCAACGCATGCTGAAACAACGGAAGGTCGTGATAATATTCCAGGTTTACCACTTGATCAAAGCTCGGTAGATGGTTTTCTCGAAGTAATTAAATCGCGAATTACTGAAGAAAATCTTTACGCGGAGGAGACAATCTCAGGATTGCAAAAAGTAACTTCAATGCCGAAAATATACCAAGTTTTGCTGCCTATTTATCAGACATTTTGTCGAAAGAAAAATCAAGAGATCTTGTTGAAAGTGTTTTATGGTTCAATTCCACAATCATGCGAATTATTACATTGTAATTTGTAATGACTTCAAGGTTGCCAATGTAATCATGATTCAACTTCCAGAATTTTTAGTTGGACATTACAATACGGTCATTCAGCGTCAGAAACATGGGGACAGCAATATTGGGGTTATTGTGACAAGCCATCTGGATTAAATTCAGCAGAACGTGGCCCACTTGCTTATATTGGTGGCTAAATAATAAGTAAATTGACTCAGATAAATAAGAAAAAGGGCAATATAAATGAACAAATCCAAGCTTTATTGCAAAGTATGAAATCAACAGGACCAGCAAATTCCTTTATTGCCACTAGAACCAGAGGTAGTCTTAACTCACCATCTGGTGATCTGATAAATATTTTGGAAGCTGCATTTCGGGATGAGATTAACGGACACTAATGACACTATTTACAATGCGGTTGTTGAAAACTGACCCAAAAGTCAAATCGTTATGGGAAAATATTGTTATGTCATGTTGTTATTCAACCGGCTTCAATTACAACACAAAAATTGTGCTTAGAAAATGTATTACATAATAACTACAGTGAAACACGCAATTTGATTGGTCAACAGCCGTGCAGGATCAGAAAATCCTGCACGGGAAATTCTGAACAGAAATTCTTGTACATAATTTTACAAATATACTCACATTGTAAAGTTTCATTGTACGATACCTTTCGACTTTGAAGTAAGTTTCCAATTATTGAGACGTTGGTTTAGTTGTATGAATAAATTTCTGATCATTACATTGCTATTCAGCAAGTAGCAACGCGTAGCGTTGCAATTCATTGACAGACCATGGCATGCAAGTACAACATCTCTCGCTTCAAAGTTGATCAAACGCTTCGCAATATTCACATATTCAGGTCGAGAATCTTGAAAACTACTTTGGCTCTCTGTTTAGCGTGTGTTCCATTTCAAATTTCGTATATTTTATCGAAAAAGTCCCTGTATTTCGCTGTATATTTTCGCGAATTTGCGATCAAATTCTGTTCACATATGTTGTTGTTTTCAATAGCGTGGAGTAGCGATTCTCTGATTGGTTAATTCACGAATGTTGTGAGAACTGCACATTTCATCAGTAATTTTAATCAAGTTAAGCGTCGTTTCACTGTAGTAATTTTATTACGGCTCGTGTATTTTTACGCTTTCCGAAAGTTGAGCAACATCCCAAGTGCATGGATCACGCAATCCTGCACGGAAAGCCATTTGGTAATTTTTTTATTGAAACTCTTCTTGAAAGTTAACGTTCGATCTTTTTCTTATGCCAAGGATTACATTCCAAAGTACCAAATTAATTAAAGAAAAGCAAGGGGAAAAAAGCACTGAGAAATGAATTAAAAAGGAAGCCATAACATAGCGTCTCTATACATGACAGTTGATGTGGAACAATTACCTGTAAGGGAGCAGTCATTATTAATGCCAGGGTGGGCCGGAAGATATTTGGGAAGGGGGGGCACCAAAAATTTATCAACCAGTTAGGGGGGGCAGCAAAAATATCAAAGAAAGGTAGGGAGGCGCCAAAAATAATTTACAATAATCATAAAACATCAGCAATTATAGTTTACTGTAATATAAATGTCAATGCAATAAAAGAATAGGTAATCATCAAACAGGAAGGAGTGCAATTAATTATATTAACACTACGAGTAATATTTGAAAAATGTACCAAAATTGCACAAGCTGTTAATTAATTGCACAACTTGCCCGATCGATTATTTATTTTATGCATAGCATGATGAAATTCAATAAAATTCAACTTTATTTTGTCAAGAGTTTTTAATTCTTTTGTAAGCAATTTGGCATAAACAAACTTGGGAAATGAGCATAAACTCATAAAGGCACATAATTTAAACTAGGACAAATGATTCAAACTCAAATAACATATGAAATTATTAAGAAAATCTTTATAAATTGTATTTATACAGACTTACATAGTCACGTTTCGCTGCATCTCGTCGAGATTATTTCTTAAAACTGTTTCCAGGTATTCTCCACAGGCTCTGTTTGTCATACTATGTTTTTTAAACTCATTCTTGTGCCAAAATTTAGTTCAATTGAATTCGTCCATGTGTTTTTTTATACAAGATAAAGATAAATTTCCCCACCATATTGGACTTGTTGTTTTGATTTCCCGCCCCCCCCCCAATCATCGAAAATCATTAATTGCACCACAGTAGCCCAAGTTGTCGCTTGCGAGATTGTGCCACCTGTGATCTTAGTATATGTTTGGAATGCAAGTTCAATCACAGGGGAAGAAGAAGGGGGGAGGGGGGGGGGG